GCAGGGCACAGGGCTTCCTACGTGGGTCACGGCCTCCCTGGACAGCAGGGCACGGGGCCTTCCTACGTGGGTCACGGCCTCCCTGGACAGCGGGGCACGGGGCCTTCCTAAATGAATCACGGCCTCCCTGGACAGCAGGGTGCAGGTCATCCTAGACACCCCCGGATGGCAGGGCACAGGCCTTCCTACGTGGGTCACGGCCTCCCTGGACAGCGGGGTGTGGGTCATCCTAGGTGAACTACACCTCCTCAGGCTTGGGTGGCCCGAGGTGGCTGACACTTAGCCTGGCTGGGCCCCAGGTTCTCGTGGTGTAGTGGACCCAGGGCTGCCTGCTGCGAATGCTTCCTGCCAGCAGCCACTCCTGCTACTGAGCTGAGCCCTGTGGCTCATGTCCACCCCCATGGCTGACCGTCGCCCTGTGCTGACACCTGTCCCCATAGCTGCAAAGCAAGGGGGCGCCGGAACAGCCATACTGCGGGTGTTGCCAGGCTGCAGCCAGGCCCAGACACCCGAGCTACAACCTCGCTGGCTCGGACCCAGCTCCCCAGTTAAGTGTCACTGTGTCACCCACAGTGGCAGCTGGAGCTGGGGAGATAAGGCCCCCTCCCTGGGAGGGGCAGCCCCCGGGGGAGCCGACAGCCAGAGCAGTGGGCCCAGCTCCCCACACAGGCCACCAGAAGCCTGTCCCTGTAGGTCCAAGCCCTGTCTTCAGGGTCAGGCCAGGCGAGTGACTGCGGACCAGCTCCCCACACAGGCAGCTTGTCCTCCGCCCTTGGGCGTAAGGCCTGGTGAGTGGAGGGGCCTGGCCTGGCTGAGGGATTCTCTGTGGGGTTCCTCCTGGTGAGGGTCCCCTGTCCACTCCACCCCTCCCAGATTGTCCCTGGTGCCAGCTCTCACAGCGTTAGGACCTAGGTGGGGACTCTGGCTGGCCTCAGAGGTCCTGGTCACAGCCACAGGCTCACATGACATCCCTTGTGAGGTAGTGACTTCAAGTGCACGCTGCTGGATCATGGGGACCCCTCTTGCCTCTCACTACCACACCCCTGTGAGGTCCCCCATGCTGGGACTGAGGTCCCCCCAGAGAGGGGTTTCTGCCTGTGACTCTCAGGTGCTGCCCTACCCACCTCTGCTGATGGTCTGCAGCAGACCTTGTCCATGCTCTGGAGGTGTGGGCACCAGCATGGTCTTGTCCACAGCCACAGTGAGGGCGGGTGGACGTGGCATACACCAAGATGTGACCATCTGACAGAGAGGGCTCATGGACATGGGCACCCGAGCCAGCGGATGTGCGAGGATCCAAGGCTCCAGCCACGGCCTCTCCCCACCCCTACCTCACGTGTCCTTGGTAAAGGGACTGGCACAGCTGAGGCTCTGCCCCTGCCCTGGGGTTGCCGCTGAGCCAGGACACCTCCCAAAGGCAGTGAGGCGGTGACACACACAAGTCCGGTGACAAGGGAGCCCATCCAGGAATGGACACCCACAGCGTGCCCCCTACCCCTTGGCAGGAGATGGCCCGAACTCCAGGAGGGCAGAGCCAGGAGCCTGACCGACCACACAGAGAGTGCCAAGCCTCCAGCCTCCTCCCAGCTGGCTCTGACCCTCTGTGTGCCCTGGAGTGGACAAGCATGCACAGTGACCCATTAGGGTGGGGATAAGCCCACGCCAGCATCAGTGATGGGGCTTGCACTAGGCAGACCTCTAGGCCACTGACTGTCCTGGGGACAGTCATGATGGAAAGGTCACAGGGCAGCCTTGGTGACCACCAACTGCTCAGAAGTCAGGATGACTCCAGTTGTGGCCCTGGAGGAGCGAAGGGTGTAATGGGTGGAACCCTTGACTCATTCGTGGGGGTGTCCAGTGACTGGGATGGGGAAGATGAGGGCTCTGGGTTCATAGAACTGCCCACACACACACACACACACACGCACACACACGCACACACGCACAGAGCCACCTCTGGGGCAGCTCTATCCCGTCCACAGGATCGCTGTGGGCTCTGGGTCAGGAGCTCCTGGAAGCAGCGGGCTGGTTTTGGTTTACAGGAATCCACTGTTCACAGGACTCAGCGTGCAAAGAACGAGGAGACAGCAAGTTTAAATGCAGGCTGGAGAAGGAGCAGGCGATGTGAGGACAGCCTCACAGAAACACACCAGTGTTCTCACGTGCACACTTCCAACAAGCAAAAGACGCACATGCACACACACACATCTGGAGAAGAGGAGCCCTGCATGGCTAACCACCATGGAGTGTCACTCCCCAGAGACGGTTGCTCTCAGCACAGCCCCGTCCTCCCATCCAGGCCGGCAAGGGCTCCACCGTTTGAAGCCTCTCTAGCTGAATCATAACAATTACAAGATCGCTTTTATCATCAAAGGGACCAGGGCCTGCTGGCCTCTTTGAAGGCCTCTGGCCACTGATGTGGAACCCACACCCTCCCCTCGGTAGTCCGCCCCCTGCCCAGCCCTGGGCACCTGAATGACCCTGGAGAATGGAGCAGAACTGCTCAGGGGCTTCGCAAGGCTGTAAATCTTCACAGAAGCTGACAGCCTCATCTTTCTCCCACTGAGCTACTGGTGGGTTCGAACCACGGACCATTCAGTCAGTAGCCGAGTGCTCACTCACTGCACGACCAGCGCCCCTTGGATAGGTAACCCCCCCTACCATGCTGCTGAATCAGAACCAGCTCCTGGCTGACTCTTCCGGGTGGTGAGTCACACAGGAGGAGACTGTCCATTTTCCAAGCTATCAGAGTGGCCTGTCCTTCAGCTGAGCAGCTTGACTCCCTAACAATCCAGTCACAACATTACTAGGAATTTACTTCGTCTCATAAGCCTGGAGCTGGACGTATAGGGCACCCTCTGCGTCTCGCCCCACACGTCCTTCTAGAGGTGTTCACGAGGGATGGGTACTTAGTTGGTTAACAGAAGGAAGCAGCAGGCTGAGTGGAGGGCGGTTCGTGCACAGGGTCCAGTTTACATTTTTAATAAATAAGCCAGGTGTCTACTTGTTGCACCTAAAGCTCTGGAAGGATCCACCGGGCCCCTTGGCAGAGGCGAGTCCAGGGAAGACGTGGGGTGGGGCGGGGGTCCCAGCACGGAGGGCTCGTCCACTCCCCAAATGTGTGCAGGGCCAATCATAGATGCTAGTGCACCCAGCCATGGCTGGATTTGTAATCAGAAAAAAGACACTTGGATCCTCGTCTGGCCTCACTCTGAACTCTCTGGAATGCTGTCCAGGGCAGCACAAGGGGACGCTCCCTGATTATCAAGAGGGCCAGCCGGGACATAGTCCCCAGAGGCCAGCTTTGCACAAGCCAGCAGGACTGTAGAGATCCTATCTCATCTGACCTCCTGGGCTGCAATGTTAATGGCCAGTGGGTCACTGGATTGTGGAAGTGCTCCTTACAGGAAGACGGAGGCCGGGGCCACCTTTTGAATGTTCCTTTCCTTGTTTAGCCCCAAAAACTGTCACAGGGTCCAGCGCGACTAAGCTCGGCCCCAGTCCTATCCTGCAGTACATCCCAACAGCTGGACCAAAGACAGCCGCCCTGGATGGCCCTCGCCTCTGGTCCGGTTCATGAGAGAGTGCAGGCTCTGCCCAGGGTGTGGGGATGAGGGCGTGAACCTGAACCCCACGGTGGGACGGAGCTCACCTCAGAGTTTTGAAATGACCCCTGCCCAGCACACCTGGACCCAGACAAAATCACAGCCTCCCTGCTGCCCCAGCGCCCGTGGGGTGGCCAGTCTGCTCACACCCTCACACACACACCACCCTCCTAGGCTCTGGACTCTGATCGGTCAGCTCACCCACCTAGGTTTGTGTGTGCCCATGCCCCGGGACCCTATGTAAAATTGGGGAGCAGGATACTCCTGGCCTTTCTGACCTCATTCCCTGCTGCCCAGGAGATGGACTTGGAAGATGGGGCGG